ATTTCGGCGAACACTTCGTTAACATTGATCCGACTCTTAGCCGAGGCCTCCATGAATGGCGACGACCAGACCTGAGCCAAGGCTATGCCCTCTCCGGTGGTCACCTCTCGTTGGTGTTCAATGTCCAGCTTATTGCCCACCAGAAGTATGGGCACCCGATCCGTGCCCTTCACCCGTACGATCTGTTCCTTCATATTCTTCACGTCTTGGAAGGTCTGGTGATTAGTGATGGAGTAGACGACCACAAATCCCTGGCCATTCTTGATGTAGAGGTCGCGCATTGAGGCGAACTGTTCGGTGCCGGCGGTGTCCAGTATTTCCAGTACACACGGCCTGCCGTCCACTTCGATCTCTTTGCGGTAGAAGTCTTCGATAGTCGGGTCGTACTTCTCCATGAATGTGTTGGACACGAACTGCACGGTTAGCGCCGATTTGCCCACTCCTCCCGACCCAAGCACTACCACTTTGTACTCTCGCATTGTCCACGAGTGGTCTTGTCTTCACCCGTGATGTCCGCAGACACACACTCTCTCTGGCCGTCGGTTACCGACTGTAATGGATGGCAGTTATGCTGAAGACAGCGGCGGTGATGGTTGTGATGGTTATTATGGTGAGCACCAGTCGTTTACTATTATTATTATTATTATAATTATTATAAAAACGTTTATAACTATTAACTATAAAAATGACAAATCAATTGTCAAAATACACATAAAATACTATTTCGATATATTATATATTTTTTGTGTTAATTATTGATTAATAATCTATTAATATAGTAACTTACGTAACTAACAATATATTGATATTTGAATTAATAGTAAATAATAATATTTGTAGGTTTTGCACACAGATTGAGGCGATGGTTATAATACGAAGACTGCGGTGATGTTGGGATCAGATGATGACAGAGACATGCGGTCATCACTTATTCAGGCATAACATCGACAACAATGACAAGTGTTGAGTGAAATGTCGGTGAAATTGGTTGTCGTCTATCGTCGAGATGTCTTCACATGTAATACTGGATCACATTTTGGTCGACAATAACGTGTGGATTGTGTGAAGCGATCGACGGTTTGGTCATTGATTTGATGCCTTCAATGCAGTGCTAATTGTTGTGGTGTTTGACTGAATGGTTAACACAATTTTGTTTATGCTATAATTTAAAAGTCATTGTAAAACAAAACAACAGTCAATACATTACTACACATATTATTGTGAGTCATATGCTGTGTGTATGGGCTGTGTATGGGTTGAGGGCCTGGCGTTCAGCTCAACACTGCCTACCGTTCCCTTCACTACTACTGAATGGTATTCACTGTTCACTCGACGATCGCATCGACTCTGAGAGGCAGTGATAGGGAGACAAAAGCAGTGGTGGTTTGGGTTGTGTTTGTTGTGCACAACACTAACACAATCTCTGAGCGCAAAACACAGGCTTTCGATGCTTTCAATGCGATATACAATTCTTGATTCACTTTTTCACCAGAACTACAAAACTTATACCTAAAGAGTGTGCAAAAACTTAAGACTCGTTTTGTCTCTTTTCAGAGCTACCGTTCCCCTCAGCACTTGTATAAGTCGTATACTTGAGTGAGTCAGTCAATGAGGGAGAGAGGGAGAGAGGGAGGGAGAGAGAGNTCTACATCAAGAATGGCCAGGGATTTGTGGTCGTCTACTCCATCACTAATCACCAGACCTTCCAAGACGTGAAGAATATGAAGGAACAGATCGTACGGGTGAAGGGCACGGATCGGGTGCCCATACTTCTGGTGGGCAATAAGCTGGACATTGAACACCAACGAGAGGTGACCACCGGAGAGGGCATAGCCTTGGCTCAGGTCTGGTCGTCGCCATTCATGGAGGCCTCGGCTAAGAGTCGGATCAATGTTAACGAAGTGTTCGCCGAAATCGTACGCGAAATGAGCTTCAATTCGGTTAAAGAGAAACCCAATTATTGCTGCAATTTGTGTGGCTTTCACTGTAATATACTTTGATGTCCGGTCACTTCGGCCGCCCAATCGGGTGCCGCCAACCGATGGGCGCCGTTATGTTATACGGAGTTTTCTAATCATCTAATCGTTCAGTTAATCCAATCATTCAATTATTTGTTGTTTATTAGTTTGTTTTTTATTAATTTTTATTAATGATATGATTATTATAAATGCATTTTTACGACAATTATTATAAATAATAATACGATTATATATTTTTACGACAATTCATCCGACAATTCCTATTCATTGCATAAGAAGTGAGTTTTGATTTTGTATCTTATCATGTGTTTTGATAACTCGATAACTCATTATAATGTACTCATATTATACTGTACTGTATATAACTGTGATTAGTGTACAGTTAGTTGAGATAATTAATTAGTAGTTATAATAGCGATTAATGTCTTTATTATACATTGGATTGAATGTTAGACTCAAACGTGTATACGTTTTGCGCAATATTTGCAGTTTTTTTTAATTATTTAATTTGAATTTACGTTAAAATGTTTGTATAAATTATAGCAAACATTTTAATCACATTCACTGTATTTTAGCTTTAATTTATGCATTCGTTATATTGAATAATTGTTTTAATTATTTTATTATCGCTTTTAATCTCAACACATATTTTAGTGAATGAATGAATGAATTTTTTTAATAACTTTGTTTAGTAATAGTTTTTATTTAGTTTTTGTTTCATTCTCTTCTGAATTGATATTAATTTTTTTTAAACTGATAAACAATTTAATTTACTTTAGTTAGCGTTGAAATTGCTGTGAAATAATAGATAATTTGAATGAAAAATAAATTTTAACACAAAATTGTGATCAGAATTCACGAGTTATAACAGGACTTGTAATTTGTTTAATAAATTTATGACAACATTATTATTCAAAACACTTTATCATTAATATTAATATCATTATTGTTTAACTGACTATTATTTTCTCTCATTTTCTCCATAGATATAAACACTTAATAATTCTTCGATTCATTCGTGAAGAATATATAAGTTTTTTATTTAAAAACAGCAAAAAATAATTGACAAAAAAATTGAAATACTTTTTAACAAAAAGTTGAAGTGAAAAGTGGTATTAATTTTGTTATCAAAGCACCAAATATTGTGTCACTGAAGAGGAGGAGCGCCAAAGAAGTGACTGTTTTTTTTATATATAATGCGAAGAATATATGAGAGAATAAAAAGTTGAAGTGAAAAGTGGTATTAATTTTGTTATCAAAGCACCAAATATTGTGTCACTGAAGAGGAGGAGCGCCAAAGAAGTGACTGTTTTTTTTATATATAATGCGAAGAATATATGAGAGAAATGTATTTTTGTCGTTGAAATTGACGTTCATTTATATATATTATATGTAATGATAATTAGGAATCAATTAATTCTGTGAAGACATCATTAAGAAGTGGAAGACGTGAAGAGATGACTCTATCAGACATCACATAATAAACTGTGCCTTTAATTAGTGTTACGAATGAATATATCTATATATGAATCGCATATCGACTTTTCGATAGTGTTTTGTTTCAATTAGAGCCCAGACTTTGTGTTGTTTTTTATACAAAAATACGATTTTTAATTTATATATTAATTGAATTCAATTAACGATTTATAAGAGTTTTTTGGTTTTTTATATAAATTATTTGTGAATATTTATGATGTGATGCAAAATGCAATCCGTTTTTATAAATACGAATGAATAGGTATTTGAAGTCATACCGTTCCCCGCCTACACCCACACCATTTCAAAGCCTATTATTTAAAGTTAATTTTAATGTATTTTTCAAATTTAATTTAATAATTATTAAGTTAATGAATAACACAATCAAAGGTCTCATGAATTAATTTTTCAAAACGCTTTTTTGTTTTATTGTTTTTGTTTCATTAAATCATTTAATTTGCAATTTTTATTGACGTTTATATTGAAAGTAAACACTTAATTGAAAAATCACTGGATTTTTATGTCAAAATCAAAAATTAATGTTTCCAACAATTAAAGTAAATATTTAATTGAATTGTTTTTTATTTTTAGGAAATTATTATTATATTTACAATAAAAACAATGAGAAAAATTGTATACAAATGATTATTTCTAATCATAATGTTTAAAAGCATAACTTTTTTATGATTATTACTGTTATATAGTGTACACTTTGTATAGTATAAAGTACACTATGTATACAATCGTTTTAATATTTTCTATTTATATACGCTTTTTTGCACTGAAACTAAACATTTTGCTTCAATTTTTTGTTGTTTTCAAGACATTTATTTCAATGATTTACACATTTAAATGATGTGCGAAAATGGTGTGAAAAACGCATCAAAAATGATTAGTTTATGTATTAAAACACAAAAACTCGGTTTAGTTTTGAATTTCAGTTTTTCTGCACAAATATTAACTTTTAAGACCTCTTCCTCTCTATTATTTATTACTCGTTTTGTTTTTAAACTATTATTTCTTTTGTAACACTATTTCACTCATGAATTTGTTTAATATTTTTCATTTCAAACTCCGATTTGTTTTTCTCTGTTATTTAATATAAGTTTCTTTCTTTTGTTACTGAGTTTTAATTATAAACTTTTAATACATATATAATTTGTGTGTTTTGTGTTTAACACGGAATCGCCTGCAAAATAATTGCCTAAACAATGAAAATTCATTCAATAATATGATAATAATATTAATGATAGCAATAAATACGCCAAACATTATATTCAGACAACTTGATCACACTATTCCTCCGGTTCTCTCTATCACTCCTATCAATGAATACATGATTTAATTAAACAGAAACTCTATCTAATTGTTAATATATATTCATTTCCAACTATAAAACCACTGTTAAAACTATTTTACACATTAAAAAGTATACATTTTGTGGACAACAAAAAACTTTTATAATTGTTAATATTATTTATGTTTATTATAATAATAATTAAGTCATTATTATATATGTTTCACAACTAGTGTGTCGACCGGCAAATGAATTGGTGTTCACTGTCTATAAATGGTGTTCACAATCACTCGTATATAATATACAGAAGACTATATATAAATATAATATTTGTGTAAAATTGTATAGAATTTTGCTAATAATAAATAATAGCCAAATAATTTGGTGACAAAACTGATAGTATGTATAATAAATGGGGAATTAATTGTTTCTCTCAGAAAATTCTTGTAATTATATCTAAATTATGTTTTTGATTGTAATTTATATATTTAGCTGACATTTGAGATGCCATTTGATTGAACACTACTTTATTTGCTGCCGTCGTTCAGATACTAACTGTTATATAATTTAACGCAAAATATAAAACATTTAATTAATTAATTTAAAAAGTAAATTGAGAGACAAATTATATACAGTATATACAGAACTAATTGTATGTATAAATTAGACGACAATCGTGTGATAATTAAGTTTATCAGTGAAATAGCAGACAAAATAACAACAACAACACAATTACTGTTTAAATATATCGCTAATTATTATTCTGTAAGTCATTTCCAGAGAGATTTTTTCCAATTAATTATTATCTTATTTTCCGAGAAATAAAAATTACAAATTCATACGAAATGAATGAACGGTTGTTTGATTTAAATAAAAAACTTATAAATATTTTTCTATTACTATATCACGAGTCAGCACAATATGAATACCTGTTTTATTGTTCAAATAAGCTATAAATTAATTGTCTATTAAATAATTTTCGATTACATTATACCTAATAGTAATTTATTTTGTCATTTGAATAAATAGGCAAATAATTCATTTTTTAATTACCACTTCTTTCTCTGCCTATACTTTACGCTATTTATTATGTAATTTATATTAAAATTTTATCATTTATGGCAATCAATACCATTGGGGAGATAATAGGATATCAAACACTCATTAATCAAATAACTTAAATGATTATATATTTTTATATGAATCCATTGCCTTCTATGGCAACATTGAGTGCCGAGACTATAGTATCCAATTGACACCCCGTTCCCCACTCTTCCCCATTATATGCCAATTGTTTCGCCGGAAGTTTCAATTGATAGCACAAAAAACACATATAATTATTAATCATTGATTTTATTATTGTATACCGAGAGCTGTATTACAGCCAAAAGTGTCTGAACGACACATGTGTCGGACGTATGGCTCAAAACAGGTCAGTATTATTGGCAACAATAAAAAGTATTGTCTCGTTTCCAGATCAGACACTGTCTCCACAATTTGCCATTTTATTAATCAATCAAATACTGGACTCTCACACTAGTGTCAAACACCATCACATCTCTCTCTCTCTCTCTCTCTCTCCTCCACTGTTGGAGGAAATTATTTTTAATCGAAATTCTGGTTTTATATATATATTTCAATTTAATTGACTGTTTCTCTCATTTCTTTTTTTATATTTTGAGTTTTTGTGGCGAAACAAACAGGCATTGAATGAGACAGTGATTCATGAGATTAGATGCGATGTGTTGTATGTTTTGCACTGCAATCGCTTATAAGACCACAAATATGTGAGGTTTGAATAAAAGATGTGTTTTATTGCTAATAATTTATTGATAATTGCCATCAATTTATGACTGAATCTTTATTTTAAATCTTATATTTCATGTGCAATCAATTCTCATCAACAAATGTTATAACAAAAATAAGAGAGAGAGAGAGAGCATGTATTACATAATCGCTAAGTATTGTTCATTTCAGGTAAAAAACTTTATATTCATTTAGTTTTCAAACTTCAAGTTATTTTGCTATTAATTGCGAAAAATAGCTGCAATTTATTAAATTTTCGAGAATTACATGAATCATGAGAGAGAGAGAGAGAGAGAGAGAGAGAGAGAGAGAGAATTAAGTAACTCCTAAATTAAAATATAAAACACTAATAAAATTCAATAATGCATTTCATAATAACAGCAATAATAATAAATTCGTTGAATAATAAGTTTGCAATTAATGTTTGAAAGACTCAAATAAAATATACAAATAAAGAGAAGAGTTTGAATGAAATATAAGACTCCGAAGCTCTCGGAGGTTATGATAATATTGATGGCATACTTGCATATACTTTACAGTACAATGAAATAAGTCTTCACATAAAAAGTCATTGAATTGCATGTAAAATATATGTGACTTATCATCAATTAATCAAAAAAGAGTTTTGACTTTTGGTTTAGTTGAGAGAATATATAGGAAACTGAGAGCAGAGGTCTATAAATAAATCAAAACACATGAAATTTCAGGGATAAGTGGTGTTCATCACAAATAAATTAAGCCATTCATTAAAAATTGCTGACATATTTGAAAGACGAGTGAAATATAATGAAAAACTAATTATAAAACAAAAATATTTATTTTAAGTCAATACGAGAGGAAAAAATTAAACTAATAATAAAAACAAATCATTGGTTTTTCAAAATGGGAAATGAAATGCGAGAGAACTTCACACGTAATGTAGTGTTTATTCGTGAAGTCGTTACGAAATGTTTGGATATTTTTTAATTAAAGAAAACAATACAAAAAAGGAAAACGTTTTCAATATTAAATCATTGAAACACAATGAGAGAAAAGTGTCAAAATAAAAACAGTGTTAAAACATATCTAAACTTCAATATAACGCTGGAATAAGAGGAAAAACGAGAGATAAGTCACACAAATATTGTGTTTTATCAGCAAAAATACTTGAAAACTTTTTCATTTTATTTGTATTTCCATAGAAGAGAGAGAGAGAGAGAGAGAGAGTAGAGAAGTAATATTAGTTTGTCAGAAGTTGTATGCAATCATTTATATCCGAGAATTGTATTAGAGATTAAAGCGATGAATGAATAGCACTTGAAGTTTGATGTCATTTCCCTCTCACTCTCTCCCAAACCACTAATTTTGTTCAAATCTAATAAACATTAGCCAAAAACTAATTCAAATCAGTGGTTGTTTTGTGATAACGAATAAATGATTTGCTCAATACTATGTATATAACTATGTATTTTGTTATGAGATTTAATTTTATTACATAATGTGTTATCTCATCGACTAAATTATTAGAAGACTTTATATGATAAACGCCTGAAGGCATTGACTTAATGGTGAATTTGTTCATAAATTTATTTTACAATCAAATGATCATAATTTTCAACACAAAAACTGATTGCAATCTCAAAGTGTTTGCATAAATACTAGGAGTATATCATCTGAGCATCACATCCTCTCTTGCAATTGTCGGATTACACAAAACTAATGATGTAATCAAATAAAGTGTTGAATTATAATAATTACGCAAAACTGGATTAGGATTTCTTTGGTTAATAATTATAATTTTAAAATTGTTATATTTTAATATTTTAAAATTTATTGTTGGATTTTTAATATGGGAAATGTAATTATATTTAGCACTAACTTATAGTCTCTCGCAATTGTCGGATTACACAAAACTAATGATGTAATCAAATAAAGTGTTGAATTATAATAATTACGCAAAACTGGATTAGGATTTCTTTGGTTAATAATGTGTAGAAAAAAACACAAATTATTGTTAAATATTTATGAAGATTACAATGAAAACAGTTGAGAGGGAGCGGAGAGTGGAGTGATTCCTAGAATTCATGTATAATATTTGTGAATCAATAAAAATTGAAACAATTTAGTTGCAATTATAATTAAGAAACTAATGCTTATTATAGTAAATATAAATAATTGTGTAGTTGAGAAGATCAGTGATACAATGAATTTTTATGTTTCTTTAGAAATACTATAAAAGTAGCTATAATTTTGAATAAACTCCTAAATTATTGTTGAAATTAATCAATTAAATGCACAATTAGTATAATTTTCAATTTATAATTTTGAAAGCAATAAAGTGTTGTCAAAGCTTTCTCTTGACTCGTTTTACAACCAATTATGAAATGCATCACAAGTTTTCAATTGTATGTCAATTCACTAATTGATGTCTGAAACCCATGAATGATACCAAAACAAGAGTTGTCGAGTCAGCGGTTCGCACGAAGTCTATCCCAAGCCACACATTTGGTGACCATTTGTGTCACCATTTGTTGTCTAATTTGCTACTCGAGGACCGGTTCCGAAGTTCAGCAAAACTTGAAATCAATTGTATATAAAATGTATGAATTTTGTGATTTATTTTGTGAACATATTATGATTTAATTGACAGATACTATAAGTTAGTGCTAAATATAATTACATTTCCCATATTAAAAATCCAACAATAAATTTTAAAATATTAAAATATAACAATTTTAAAATTATTTCAAAGTATTAACAAATAATAATTGAATATAATCACGTTTATGATATTGCTGAACACACTGCAAACATCTAAAAATAGCTAAATATAAACTTTCTAATTGACTAAATATAATAAAATTCCGTAAAAATTGTTACAATAGATATTTTGTACTCTTAAAACAGAAATGCATTCAAAATTATATAAGAAAATATTTGTGAACAATAAATTTCAATTTCATATTCATATACTGTATATTTTAAATGAGTATTCAATTACTGATGAAAATGTAAACCATTGATGATTTAAATCACAAAAGTCTTCGCTGCGACTGAAGGCTATATATCAAGTCATCGATATATAAGTGATTGAACACAGAATCGGACAGATTTGTCTTAAAACAAGCATAAAATTGTTTATTCCTCTCATATTTGGCGATAATATTAAATAAATGTATTTTATTTTTGACTTTCTTTGACTGCAATTTATTTGGATCCCAAGAATTAGAAGAAATATTCATTTGAAAACTTCTTCCCATTTCGTGACACAAATGTACGGATTGTCTGAATTGTCGACTCATTTCATAACAAGAATCGGTAAACTTCTTAAATATTTGTTCGCAAATATCTTTAGGCCATTTGAGTAGTGGTCCGGCAAACACCTGATGTCCATCTTTTATATCCAGATAACAGATTAGATTCTCTGGTATTTTAAATGTTTGTTCAAAACAAATGCTATTGTTTTGATCGCAAGCATTGATATCTCTGTAAAGACTGGAACCACTCGATGAACTCCGGGACAGCAATGAATGTACTGGCGATGGACTCGTAAGCCTAGAACCGCTTAATGATAAAAGAGAACTATTCGAGCGATACATCTGACTGAACCCAACTCTTCTTGGCCCTCTATCTTTAGGGAAGTTACTGCTGCTGTTGGCAAATATCGAGAACACCAGAAACAAAAACCGCTTGTACACAACTTGTCGGTAAACAACCTGTATTTTCGTCAGATCGATTCTATCAATGGTTTGCATTTCTGTGAAATAGGACTTCAATAACCGAATCGATTCATTGATTATTACTTCATTGGCTTTAATCGGTGTCTTCGCCGGTGTAATGAAAGCGTAACGTTACTCTCACGTCACTTAGTCTACAACCTCTGGTTGGTAACTATGTTTCATAAATTACGTTAGCAAAAGTAATAGTAACCTAAGTTAAGCACCGAATTTCAACCCTTTGTGAAGTGAGGTGTAGACGAGTCGTATAGAATCGGTTTTGTGTAATGAAAGCAATCCTTTAAGACTCAAAAATGCAAAAATGTCTTTCAAATGATTGACCGCCAATTGAGAGGACAGTAGTAGACCTTTGTATAAAAGGCAGGAACCGATCACAATGAATGGGGCGCCGCTTTGCTCGTGTGAATCCATCGCTGGTTCTTCGCTAATCCAATCAAATGCCTGATATTCTGCGAGAGAATCGCTTAAATTAATGGCTAAGTTGTCGTCAATTATCAGACGTTTGATTGCATGAAAAAATATTGAATCAATTGATAAATATTTCGATTCTTCAGTTAAAATATAGTCAAATGTTGTCAATAATTTCGTCAATTTTTCGTGATTTGATTGGTCTGTAAAAGCGGTGTCCAATGAGTTGTAAATAAATTTAATAACTCTTGCAATGGTTTCAACAATGGCTTCGACTTCGACGTCAGTATACGTGTCGTACGGAAGCGCTAACACTAACAGACCGTTCATTTGGTGGACAAAACCAATTCTATACAACTGTTTGCTGTTTTGTTGATTCACTTCAATGGATGACAAACATATCGATTGTTGAGTAAACTGATAGACCGCTTGAGACAATGTTATAAACATTCCTTTCAGTTTCAACAACACTTGATCCGAGTCTTCAGTTTCAGTCTTCGGATACGAATACAACAGGCAATCGGTTTGCGTGTCGTTTGAAGGCATTAAATACATTAAAACCAATTTATTGTCTCGAAAACCATGATTACAGAAGCATAACGGTCGTTAGTTTAGTTTGTTAAACAAACAAAGCAAGTGAAGTAACAGTAGTGTTGGTCTTTATAACTAGTGTCCTAAACACCATGTAAACCCTAGTTAACCATCACTAGCTTCATCGGTATCTTTTGGCACTTCTTTCCTGCAACTACTCTTCCTCTTAAGACTCTTATCAGTCGATTGTTTTGACGATTTGTTCCGAAACACCCAAGAAGTGAGTCGTTTATACTTCAAACCAAACCTATTAATTAGTAAAACTAATAATTAGTTATCATTTTGTCTTTGAATTCAATTTACTTACCGTTCATTCAATTGGTTTGCCTTCTGGTGGGTGTCTTTGGGATGACATTCATCGGACAACTTGTCATTGTGTTTGTCTTCGGCAAACTCAAACTCCATTTTGTTGAGCACTCTGTTAACTAACCGCATTAGCTACAGGAGTAGCAACTCTCGCTAGTGTAGCTACAGACTCTCTCACCAGAGCGTTAGCCTACTTGTTGTGCAGGTTGACGACGTCGATCCACACCAGGAGTCGCTCTCCGAAGACATCACCAGACAATTGGTCTCAGCATTTGGTGTTGTCTTTCAAATCACATGCAATTTGTTGTTACGATTGTTGTTATGATAACCACTATATAAACGACGTCCGGAATTAAGGGGCAAATCATGTGTTGATTGCAATTAAGTCTTCATTAGAAATCAATTTAAAAGGCAGTGACTGTTGTGTCCGTCCCCTGTCTTCCCATCAACGCCTGTCCACTATATATGGGCTCACAATCGATGGTAAGTTGTGTTTCAAACTGAAGAGCCATTCCTCTCAAGTGTTGTCATCATTTAAATTTTAAATCAAAGTTTTCAAAAGTTTTGAAACAAATAAACTGATGCCAAGAGTTGCCAATAGAGAGAGCTTTGCATTGACTCAACACAACTCAACACAACTCAACACAACTCAACCCAATGTATGACATATACTGTGAGCACATGTTTTGCAACCAATTATCAAAAGGATTACAAGTTTTGACATTTGATTTGAAATTCATTTTCATTTCATTGTTATTTCACTGATCCGTGTCTTCACTCAAACCAACAGCTGATCTCATGAGTGACACAAAGAGACGAGTTGTTGAGTCCGTGGATTCGCGCGAAGATGATCTCAGACACTCAAAACTGTCTAAACCGCTGCTAAACAGCGTTGAGAACGACAGTAAAGACGGTGAGCTTCTCGCCAAGGCTAAACTTACAGACAGGTTTGTCAGTTTCTCTAACTATAAGTGCAGTAATTGCTCTGTTGAGTTGAAAGAGACAATAAGTGGCGAAACGTTTGAAGCGATACTCAAGAAGTGTCAAAACATCACTTCCATTGAAGTGTCAAATAATAATCATATGATTAATGAAATGTTTGAATCAATTGTCAAACATTGCGATCATTTGAATGCCATTTGCATTGATTGTGGTATAAGTGGAGTCAAACCAAACGACCCGCTTATGGATCAGTTCTTCGCAAAGTTTGGCAAACAATTGAAATCAATGGCATTCAAAATGTCTGCCAATTGTTTGGACAAAAATGTGAAGAATTTGACAAATTTAACACAAATCCAGTTTAAGGACAAAATGTTGGAAACGATTGAAAGCCATTTATTGGCCGAAAATGAGACAACGATTTCATTGCCGAAACTGAAGGCCATTAAGTTTATAATGCATTCAAACGAATGCGACAATAGTTTGACTATATTTGCCAATAACTATAGGAATCACATGAAATCAGTTGACGTGTCAATTGGTCTGCAGTGCGGGAAGAAGTCAATCGCCAATTTGATGAGTGGTTTGTCACGAATGCATTGTTTAGTTGATCTCAAACTTATGATATGTATGTTTCGCGGCGGAGAAATGGCCATCACTTTGAAAGCCAATCAATTGAAACAAATCGGCATAAAGTGTCCGCAACTCAAGAGTCTAACGCTATTGGCGTACATCGAGAAAGACGTGAATTGCGATCAATTGATGCAAACAATTAATCAAAACTTCAAACACTTGAGACGACTGGAGGTGAGAGGATCCGGATATTTGAAGGCACTGTTGGCCAGCGATTCGTTGCCCCGTTTGACACACTTATCGCTGTTTTGTTTCAATAAAATGCAAACATTAACGAAGAAATTTGCGGACAATATTCACATCAAGTTTCCGAGACTTCAATTCATACATCTCTTCAAACTAGACGTAACAGACGTTGTATTGAATGGATTGTCAAAATGTGTTAAATTGCAAACCATTAAACTCGAGGGCAATCTTAAGTACAATCAATTGGCTGTCAACACAATCATTGAGAAGTGTCCCAAAATTGTCACCATTTCCATTGAAAACTCAAGTTTTATCAGTGAGTTAATCAAATTTATGATATATTATTGCTTTACACAATTAGTGATCAGTTAGGTAAATGACAATAAAACTAAAATTTATGGAAAAACATAAGTAAATATAAGTGAAAAATATGACAAAAAATTCAATAAATACTACGAAAGAAGTTCAAAAAAGTTTTTGTTTTTATTATTAATATTAAATATAATTTAATTGAATCTGAGATTAAAATCTAAAAAACATAAAATCATTTCAATAGCAATCGTAAGAATGTTTTCGTGATTTGTTTAACAAATTAGTGAACCAATGGATCGACTCCTGAGACCAACTCTACGCGGGTTTGGCGGCCTTCTGTGAGGCGTTCACTTTGTCGCCCAAACTCAACGCCATTCCCTGCGATTTGGCCCGAATCCTGATGTGTCCGCTGACGGGCGCCTTGAGTTCAAAATAGTCACTCAATTAGTTTAAATACTATATAATAACGAAATGTGTTAATCACTAGTCAATCCATTTACTGTTATTTTGATTTTAAATACCTTTTTGTATTCATTTATATTCACTTTTTATGACAAAAAATCAATAAATATTACTAAACGAATTGAGAACATGTTTTTTATTTAGTGAGGTTTGGGATGTGATGCTATTAACTACACATTTGATACTAATTATTGATAAAATACAATTGCAATTAAGTTTTGAAGTTTTAAAGGAGTTATTGTGTTAATTGTCGCCAATAGAGTGAACTCAACGCATACTGAAAGCACATCCTTTGCAACCAATTGTGAAATGTATCACAAATTTTGAAATTTAAACCTCATTTTCATTTCATTGTTTGATTTAATATATTGAATACCAATTTAGATAACGATGGATCAAATCAAGTCTGAAATGAAGCCAATAGAGAGAGCTTTGCATTCACTCAACACAACTCAACACAACTCAACCCAATGTATGACATATACTGTGAGCACATGTTTTGCAACCAATTATCAAAAGGATTACAAGTTTTGACATTTGATTTGAAACTCATTTTCATTTCATTGTTATTTCACTGATCCGTGTCTTCACTCAAACCAACAGCTGATCCCATGAGTGACACAAAGAGAAGAGTTGTTGAGTCCGTGGATTCGCCTGAAGACGATGGCAGACATAGTTTCGACAGATTTGGTGACGATTTGTCGCAACTCTTGCTGTCATTTCTGCCACTCGAAGAGCGGTTCCGATTTGAATGTCTGTCCAAACAGTCAAAGAGATTGATATTCACGTCATTAACGAGACTCGAGTTGAAAGAGAAAATAAGTGCTCAGAAGTTTGAAGCCATACTCAAGAAGTGTCAAAATATCACTTCCATTGAATTGATACTGGATTTCAATGAAATGTTGTCATCGAAAGTGATTTCAAAGTTTAATGAAATGTTTGAATCAATTATAAAACATTGCAATCATTTGAATGCCATTCGCTTTGATCGCGGTTTTGAAGACGAAGAGGCAAACGACCCGACAATTGATAAATTTATGACAAAGTTTGGCAAACAATTGAAATCAATTGCATTTAAAATGTCTGATAACTGTTTGGACAAACATATGAAGAAATGCACGAATTTAAGGCAAATCGACGCTAAGAAACGCCAGTCTTTGGAAGAGATTGAAAATCATTTATTAACCGAAAACCAAATAATTTCATTCCCGAAATTGCAAAGCATTAAGTATTCAATGTATTTAAACGAAAGCGACAATAGTTTGACAACATTTACTGAAAACTATGGAAATATCATTAAATCAGTTGACGTTATGATAATCTATTGTGAGAAGGAGTCGATCACGAATCTGACGGACAATTTGTCACGAATGCGTGGTTTAGTTGATCTCAAACTTAGGACATGTGTGAATAGCAGAGGTATAGTTAGCGCCACATTAAACGCCAGTCAATTGAAACAAATCGGCATTAATTGTCCGAAACTCAAGAGTCTAACGCTATCGGCCGCTCTCGAAGAGGACAAGACTTGCGTCCAATTAAAGCAAACAATTAATGAATACTTCGGACACTTGAAGCGACTGAAACTGAGTGGATCCGTATATTTGAAGGCATTGTTAGGCAGCGAATCGTTACCACGTTTAACACACTTATCACTACTTTGTTATCCCAAAATGTCCCCGATTTCGAAGAAATGTATGGATAATATTCACATTAATTTCCCTAAACTTGAATTCATAAAACTTTCCGAAATATACATAACAGACTTTGTATTGAATGGATTGTCAAAAGTGGTAACTTTGCGAACAATTAAACTCGAGGGCAAACGAAAATACAGGCCTTTGACTCTCAACTCAATCATTGAAAATTGTCCAAAAATAACCCTAATTTCTATTAATAAGACAAGAATTATCTAAACATTAGTTTTCATAATTACTGTTTCAATTGCTCGTCAATTGATTTACTTTGATTTTAAATACCATTTAGTATTCATTTGTATTCACTTTTTATAACAAAAATTCAATAAACATAACAAAAGAAATTCAAAAAAGTTTTGTTTATTTATTATTAATATTAAATATAATTTAATTGAATCTGAGATTAAAATCTAAAAAACATAAAATCATTTCAATAGCAATCGTAAGAATGTTTTCGTGATTTGTTTAACAAATTAGTGAACCAATGCATCGACTCCTGAGACCAACTCTACGCGGGTTTGGCGGCCTTCTGTGAGGCGTTCACTTTGTCGCCCAAACTCAACGCCATTCCCTGCGATTTGGCCCGAATCCTGATGTGTCCGCTGACGGGCGCCT